GGGGCGGGGGGGGGGGCCCCCTGCCCCCCCCCCCCCCGCCCTCCGGGGCCGCTCATGCGCCTCCCCCCCCCCCTTCCTCATGTTGGTACCCGCTGCCGGGTGTCCGCCCCCGCCCCGCCCCGAGGGACGGCCTCCCCACGTGACAGCAGCCGGCAGCCATTTTTCGTCAGGGCACCCCCGCGGGTGCCCGTCCCTCCTGCCAGAATCAAACATGGCGCTCACCCTGCTCGCCTCCCCCCCCGAAGCCGGGAAGACCAAGGAGAAGTTGGCTATTGGATGAGAATGCCCGGAAGTTGCTCGCTGATTGGTCCGTTTGGTGTCCCGCCCAGGCGCCAGGCGCTTGCCAAGCTCCCTCTCCCAGGGGTGGGGAAAGGGGCAGGAGGGCCGCTGGGCTGGACGAGTGATGAATTTTTGGACGTCACTTCTTCCAAATATCTTTCCAGCCTTCATTCCCAGCCCGGTGCTGACCTTAGCTTGCCCGTGGGCAGGTGGGATGGCGCTGCTGAGGGAACAAGGGAGAGAAGGTTGGCCCTGGCATCCAGCAGGGCCTGTTCCCGCTCTTCCCTTTCGGCTTCTGGTCATCACCAGTGTCGGGGTTTGGGATAGCAGACCTGCCATTGTCACCAATGTCGGGGTTTGGGATAGGAGACCTGCCATCGTCACCAGTGTCGGGGTTTGGGATAGCAGACCTGCCATCATCACCAGTGTCGGGGTTTGGGATAAGCAGACATGCCATCATCACCAGTGCTGGGGTTTGGGATAGCAGACCAGCCATCATCACCAGTGTCGGGGTTTGGGATAGCAGACCACAGCCCTGCCACAGCTGTTCCAACATCCCAACAGTTGCAGTTGGCAAAATCAAACCAGAGAGCTTGAGAAAATCACACGCACAGCCAAGGCATGCAGTGAAATAAGAAAGGGGGGAGTGAAACAGTAGGAACAGGCCCGTTGGTATTGGCGTCTTTTTAGCACAGATGTGTGGGCAGAGGTAGGAAGAGATGCTGTCCCTAAGCAACACAGCTGAGCTGCTAGGAGGGTTGACTTCGTAAAAGTTTTGCTTACGGGGCAGCTTTGGTGTATTTTTCCCGCAAATCCCTAGTTGTATATGTTTGGAGCACATCACTGATGTAATACATTTAGTGTAGAAATAGTCAAAGTAAACTCTTACCATGTGCTTCTGTAACCTTGGTGGTTTTGGCTGTATCAATGTTATTACTACAGAAAGTGTTTGTGTTAGAGCTGCAGTTATGTTAGCCCATCTGTATATCTTACCAGTGTAGAGAAAACAGCGAGGAAAAGAAGTTACATTTATGAAATTTCACCTTTATACCAATGTAATTATATTAACACTTGTGGCACAGCTGGCAGTGCAGCTGTATCAGTCGGGTATTAAACAGTTTGGTACTTCTGCTTGATGTAGCTGTGCCAGCTGAAGTCTGCAATGTAGACATGGTGTTAGATTGTATTGTTCTCCTGACCTCTCACATCTCTTTTAATTACATGGAACAACTCATTTCAAATACATCTGGGCTTTCAAAGCATTGCAGCTTTATTACCTGATTTTATGGCCATCTTGACTGAAACTCTAGCAGTTAACTAACTGACCTGTATAATGTTGCATAATGATTATTATGTTAGTTATCTAATTTCAAAATAAACATGCACACTCATCTGGGTGCATATGTGTATAAATAGATCTTGCTTCATTATTTGTATAAATACATACTGCTCTTCTGGTACAAGAAAATGTTTGATTAATTTTTCTGTGGTTGGCAAGGAGCACTGTTTGGGCTTATGTTAAATTGCACATTTCAGATATGCAGTCTTGGGAAGCTGCCATAAGGAATGGGAAAATGGCTTATAGTCTAATTTGCTTGCCCTTTTTCAGGTTAATCGTAATCCCGTGTTCTTGTGTTGACTTTACAGCTCCATCCATTTCTGTTACAGAAATGAGTCAAGGGTGTCACTTGAACTCTGTTGTAGTCCTTGTTTTGAGATCACTTTTCCTGATAATTTATTCCATGTGTTTACCATTTGTGTGAGCTTTCCCTGAGTTTCAGAAAATAAAATGAGAATAAATAACTTGCCTTTATTATTTCCCACCCCCCCATACTCTAGTCACCCTAGGTTTTTTCTGCTTACTTTTTTCTGAAAGACCTCCTTGTTGTTGTGCTGAAGACCAGCCCATCACACAGTTAGCAAGATTTGTGACCCAGGCCTATTTTAAGCCTTGTTAAGTTCCAGATTTACTCATAGTTCCCTAATTTTTAAATCTACCGCTAATAGGAAGCATAATTCAAAACAGACTCCTTCATTGAAGCAAGTCTGGCTTCAGCACCGTTTCAGCCTGGTTTCTGAGGATTCCACAGCTTGTGCCTCATCGAAACCAGACACGCTGCTTTGCCTAATCAGGCCCATAGATCAGGGGTTCTTGATCTGTGGGTAGCGACGCCCCAGGGAGCACACAGAAGTTTATTGTCCTTCTCTGTGGGGAGAGCTACAAAACAGGGAGTTTGCAAGGAACAGCCTACCTGAATCTGCAGAGAGCTCATGATAACGCAGCTGTGGGACGAATAAAGTTCCCCATTCAGGAGCAGCATCGCCGCCACCTCACCCCCAGAAATCCCACATGTCCAGCCTACCAGCAAATCCAGCATTTGTCCATTAAAGGTTCCACTTCGCTGCAGCCATGCTTTTAAAACTTAGATTCTAGGAGAAGAAGGAAACAGGACCTGTGCAGCTGCTGCTTGTTCTCTACGTGTCCTTTAATGGAAAATTAATTGGATTACAGGGCATGTTCCCTGCACTATTTCATACAGGCGGGCAGCAGGCTTGTTGAGGCTACTCTGTGTTCTCATCTGTTCATCCCGTTGGCTGGCTGCCTTCTTTTGGCAGATCCAAAACAAAATAGCTAGTCAATAATCAGAATATTTATATTTTTTAATTATTTAATTACATTAAACACTAGCTGGCAAAGATTTCTGGCATGCACACAGAGCTGTTAAACGGAAGCAGCACAGACTTTCTTTACAGAAGCGCTTTCTTCACAAGGAAAGTGAAAAACTTCTGGGTTTAAAAAAATCAGAAAATTATGTTAGTGAATGACAGTGCTCTAAACACGGCAACTCTATGCATTTTTACTGTGGTCACTGCACTGAAGAAAAGCAGTGGTGCCTCTAGCAGTGGAAAAACATATTTTGTACCCCTTATACTCCGGAAAACATTAGCGTTTTGTTAGGATTTGCTACTACTGCTTGAGTTAAAATGACTTCCTTGCAGGCAGAGATACATCCCGGACATCACAGCAGTTGTTTTGAGAATAAGTTTTCAAATGAACTTTGAAGCATGAAGAGCTAGTAATTCATGTAACAACTCATTAACATTTTGTGTATCCCCTTCTATTCAGAATCCATCTCCATGAAAGCTTCCTATTTTGCTGTCCTCCTACAGGCATTTTATACAGAAACAAAATCTTAGAAGCTTTCAAGCACTGTTTGCACAGTTGGGTTGCATTGGCTGTGCTTTGTTAGGATGTGGAAACACGGTCTTGCACATAGAATTCAGCCCATTGCATTCAGTCCATTGAACAGGAGCTGAACACGCTCTTCAATTTAGGGGATGCTTTGATGGTCACAAATGAAACTAAAATGTACTCAGACTGTAAAAGTTCTGAACACCAAGTGCTTGTTTCTTTATTAGTTTACATGATGAAAAGTTGCTACAGCAACCTTTTTTTTCTACAGAGTTTGGAGGCTTTGGTGACACTGTCTCATGTTCTGAGTTACAAAACTGGTATACTTTTCTTAGTGACGGTGTCCTGCCGCTTATGGAGTATTTCCCAGTATTTCTGTAAGCCTGTCGTTTTGAGACTTCAGCCTGAGGATAGCAATTCCCAACAGGTTTAAAAACACATCTCAAGAATCTCACGTCATTCCCTTCCCTCTCCATGTTTTCCCAGCCAGACGATCACGGAGAGGCGCTGAACAGAAAAAGATGGAGAAGGGTCTCCTCAGTGTCATTCCCTATGGGTCGTATCATGAGTGACTGCTCAGGCTTCGGGACTTTGGGGTTTGATGCTGAAGTCTTCGGTTTTCCAAATACGGAGCAACAAGGGCATAATTCATCATTTTTGTACTTGAATATACTCCAGCAATGTCTAATTTTACCTAAGAATTTCATCTGGAAAGAAAGATTGGTGTTTGCAGTATCAAAACTATAAGACAATGAATATAACTTTGAGTTACATTTTCTACGCATTAGATGTTATGGGAAACACTTTTTGCATAAGCATTTCTTTTTAGCTGAGCGCCCACTAGTTTGGATAGGATTATACATTATTCAATATTTTATTAGACAAAAATTATTCTGTATCTCATCAAGTTCAAGTTCAGTGTCTTGTATTAAAAAAAAAAAAAATTGTTAGGAAAGCTCATATCAGATAGAGGCTTCTGAAGTTTAGTAAGATCCTGTTTTGAGGTGGTTTTCCAGCTGGATTGATTCAAATGGAACATCCTGAAAGTTAGTTTTGGCACAGGTATGAGATT